AACTTGTTATTGATCGTACATTTTTTGAGAAAAATTACTTTGATTGTGAAAGTATTTCTTATTCGTGTACTTATTTAAGTGGACTATCCGGCACTTGTGTTATTCATTTAACTTGTGAGACGCTTGTAATACGCGACCTTAGAGTTTGTTTACTTGATACTACGAACGTATTATATCATGTATAATGTGTTACTATATATATATTATCTATTAATACACAATCACTGATATCGTTAACTTTTATTTATCTTTCGAAAGAAATTATAATATATAGCAATAGTGAAAACACACATTGATATATTTTTAATATTAAGAACTTCTAACGATAATGCTATAGTTGCAGTTATTTATTTTAAATAACTGTCAATCAAATACTCAATATATAATTAAACACAGCATATAATTACACAAACAACATATAATTAACACAGATATGCCTTAGATTATCTTCATATATAGAATAATCTTTCTCGAAAAACACGCGATCGATAAACAAATAGTTTTTTCTTTATTTTTCACAATGAGTGTTTCTATTAATATTATCACACGATTTATATTAAACATTGATAATTTTTACTTGGAAAGATTTTTTAGATGAGTATTTTTCATAAATAGTTGACTACTGTGATATGAAAAAGAGATAAAGAAAAATATAATACAAAAGCGCTGTTTTTATTGTATTAATTCGGAGAACGGATTGAAAAAGGAAATTTTAGAATGCTTCAATTATATATATATATTTCAGTTTCTCTCTGAATCATTTATAAATTAATATGTTATAATTAATATTTTGCATGTTTCGATAATAATAATTAAATAAACTGTAATCAATACTTTTGCAATAATAAGCAACGTTAAGATAAAACTTTTTCGCAATAATATCTTTTAAGGCTTCGGGAATCTCTCGTCGTTCAAAACAAATTCACTTTTTCTCACATTTACGCGTGTACATGTCGAGGGAAAAAAGAATCGAGGAAATACAAAACGAAAAGTGAACGAGATATTATTTTCGAGTCTCGCGCGTTCCTCTCTTTGTATACATTTGTCAGATGAAACGCGGAGATAGCACAAAGATACCGATCGGAGCAAAACATAACGGCGAGTTTGCTTAACGACATATACGAGTGCCGGCTAGACCGCGCCGGCGCTGAAAAAAAAAGAAAAAAAAAGGAGAGAAACAATACGGCAGCGGTCTCATTGGGCCGCGGGTACGAATGCGGGAACAATCCTGAGGGATCGTAATAGACGAGATAAGGCCCCAACGGCGTGGGGCGATCATCGAACGATCGTCGGAAACGTCGGCGAATCCGTCGTAACCGCTCGCGTTCGTTTACTCGACGCATCGCCGGTCACACGTAATTCAACATTCGAGCGGGGCGGGAGAGGGAAGGGCGGCAAGCGCGCGTGCACGCGTTCGGCGTGATCCTGCGCTCGCGTCGACTACTCGCGTGCACTCGTTCGGCGTCGCGTGTCCGGATCAACCGGTCGAAAAATCAGCCCCCCTGCCACGTGACGTTCATGTTGACGCTCGTATCGAAAATCGTCTATTGCCGGCGACACACCGGTTAGTGTGCCTCTCATTGTCCGACTTCGACTGACCGCGGGCGAGTCGCGATCCGAAGTGTTGCCTTCCTTTTTTTTTTTTTGTCGAGCAATCCGGATTTATCGTTACTGCGACGTGTATCTCGCTACGTGTATCGTCGGTCGCGATTCGACAAACAATTCGACGTACCGAATATTGTTTGTGATGTGTGAGCAGTCGTGAAAATTGTATAGTCCGGTACGAGTTTACATGACGTTAGAGTCCGTTGTCTCCGCGTTGACTATGCGTGTCTCGCTTACGAGAAGTATCGTCTTCGAATTGATTAATCGCTGGAGAATTAAAGAAGCTCACAAAACTTCGAATCTATCGGTTTTTGATGAATCCCGACGGTACAACCGGCAGTTTTAACGAACTATGTGACTCGTTTGTTTTGCTGTCGCGCTCGTCGTATTTTCACGCCGTATTTTCGAGATTTACGTCCACGAAAAAAGTCTGTTGCCGTTGCCTGAGGATTATTACGATTATCGTGCGACTGTCAATAAACGCGAGTGTTGCTCGAAACAATGGCCATTGTGATGAGAATTCAAAATAATAAAGTGGTTTACCTAAATGTACTCGGTAAGACGACGATATATTCTAAAATTTGTGTAAGCAAATAAAAAGTCTCGATCTTGCATAATCGATTCTATTATGTGACGTATGTATACACGTGTTGCGTAATACACGTGATTTTGGCATAGAGAGAAAGAGAGAAGAGAACATAGTTAATGTAGATAAAATACATACGATTGTCTAATGTTTTCATTGACATATGACATAGTAATATTTTGATACATAATATTTTATTTTTTCAGAAAAAAGAAAAACGTGTAGAATGTTATTGATGATTGTATTTCAATAACTGGCATAATATGTTAGCTTGTAATTATTAGGTATTGAATAAAAATTACCGGTATACTATTATAGTATGTAATTTTTTATGAGCAACCATCGTGTATAAATGGTTTCGAACATCGATGAAGCTGCGAGATTGCAATTTTACGAGTCATTGTTTAGAGATAATTACTGTAATACTTGTGCAATTAGACGAGAGAAAAAAAATTACGTTTCATATTGGATTTTACAATGTACAAATTTTGTTATGACGAACGTCGGTTAAACAATTAAATTAGTAAAGTTGAGAATGGTCGATGTTATCTGCGTTACTACGAACTTTCGAGTCGTTTCGATGTCTTCTTATCAATAACGTGTTTCGCATCAAAATAAATAAATATTGTTTCGACCTTGTAATCACTACAAGGTATTCAACAGGTCACGCAGGTCTATCGAATGTTCACATGTTTACTGCCATA